CTCTAGAGAGATTTGTTTATACTGTGAGTGATCTTATAAAACAGTCAGATCACTCTAGTAAATAAGAGTGATTATGAATCACAGATCTGAATCTTTCTATATAACTACAAAGAGTGATTACAGACTGCAGACATCTTGATTCTATAATTCTACAGAGTTGATGAAAGAATGAAAAATTCCTCACAATTCTACAGTGTTAAAGAACAATGATTTATAAGAATGAGTGAAAGATCAACTTACAAATGTTTCTCTTTGATAAGAATAATCTCATAGAGAGTGATTCATCTGTGAGATGAATCTGTGTAATGATCACATAAGAATCTTATGAAAATGATTGAGAGTTAACTGAAACTCTTCTGTATGAAAGATATGAGATGAATCTGCATGATAGTCAGAGATGAATCTGTAGATTATAAAGAACCTTGTGAAACAAGAAACTGAGTGACAGACTCTTTTCTCTTCATAATAACAAGAGATTTTTCCTCACTGAGATTTTTTTATAGATGTGAAGAGTTTTTAGTGAGTATCACTGCAGTGCTGAGCTGATTCTATGAAGTCACTCAGTGAAAGACTTTGTGAATAAAACCTTAGAGAGAGAGAAGTATGTAAGAAATCTCACTTCTTACAGATTCTTTATCTCTATTTCTATCTCTTATATAATTAATAGAGCTAGCAGCTCTTGACTACACATAACTATATAGACTGAAGTTCATGAATACTATTCATAACTCAGCTTGAATGCTATTATACATTTGACCTCTATATTTTATCTTCCTATCATAAATACTTCTAGTAGTTAACAGTACATATCATGCCAAGCTGCAAACACCTGAATAATTGCCTGTGAGCACTTATTCTTACATGATCATGAAGACTGTTGCTGTATTATAAAGATGTTTACTCACTAGAAAACATCAGAATAAGCTCTTTATTATTCTTCAAGAATGATACTCTCATGCACTCACTGTTACAATTGAGAGAGAGAAAAGAAAAATGTTTCACAGAAAGAGAGAATCTTTTTAAAAAAATTCTATCACTACTATTAACTTTGTCTCTAAAATACATTACTTTTATAGAGAATTTTATATATAGAATGAAATATATTGAGAGATCTGTAAGTCACTTATTAACTATATTTTTCACATTTCAAATCAATATATAAGAAACTCACTTATCATATATTTGATTTAAATGAAGATGAGAAAAGAAAGATCTACACAGTTAGCAGAAAAACTCATCTATTTCTTTATACAGTATACATACTGTCAATTGATTGATAATTATTGCTATACAATAAAGATAATTTCTAATTCAGTAATCTTAAGAGTATAGAGACTATGCTTTTAAAGAGAAGAGTATTATTATACTCTCAGTTATATCAAGACTCTGTTACAGTTTCACACAGCTTATTACTTTCATGTGAATAATTTTATCTTATCTGAACTGATTTGCAATTATTCTATAATATTATTCAGATATATCATAGAAAGATCTGATTAATAAATATAAGAATCTCACTTCTATATAAGATCAGCAGATTACTCTTTCTTGATAATGAAATACTGTTAAAATATCACTTCAGCTATTCTTGCTTATGAAATGAGAGAAGAGTATTCATCTATTATCTATATAGAATAGCTAGATACTGACTTCTTATTAAAGAAGTCAGTGATTTGTTTTTCTTCTACTGAAATATATACAAGAGTTACTGCATATCTTATATAATTTTCTTAGTATACTAAGTATTATATCTGTGATATTCTTGCAATAACTCTGTAGTCTACAAGCTCACTATTCAAGTAAGATAGTTAAGCTCACTTATACAGCTTCTCAAACAACTATCTCTATATATTGCTGCTGACTAGTCATCACTTCAGTTCCGCATATTACAATATTATACTTATCTATTCAGTGTAGGCCTCTTATAATACTTAATCAGTTACTATCTTCTTCATCTCTGCATGCAATCTCACTAATGAAAGAGATTTCAAGATAAGCTAAGTCTTGAAAAAGAAGACCTTTCAACAAGTTAAAATAGAAAAAAATTAAAAGATGAAAATGAAAATGAAAATAGAAGAATAAATTAACTGAGAAGTAAAAATTTCCACTGACTTAAAATAACTGATTGTGTAACACAGTGAAAGGCACATGTGAAGAAAAACAGAGATACGGACGTCTCAGTAGTCTCAATCTCAGAGTTAAGTGAGATAGCATTGCGAAGAGATGATGTTAAGAGCTCAGAGATTAACCAGGTCAGACGGTATCAGATCAGCAGCTTGATGACTTCACAGGTGCAGAATTTAAGATAAGTGAGAGTCAGATAAGACAGCATTATCTCTGACAGAGAGAAAATGAAGAAGAAGACAGTGTATACAAGTGTGAGTATCAGAGCTCAGAGTAAGAGTGAGAGAGAAAGAGAAATAAAGAAGAAAGAATGAAGAGAGTATGTAATTGTTATAAAAGAGTGTAAGATAAGTTTTTATAAATTGCAGTATCTATTAAAGTGATGTGAGAAGATGTAAAAGTAGTGAAAGAGTAGTTATCTTTAAAACAGTAACAGTAATACTGTAACAGATCTTATACACATAGTGAATCAATGATGAGAGTACTCAGTAAACTGAGCACTTCACTAATCAGTATAAAAGATAATGTAATCAATCATTCAATGCTCATATACACTTAACACTCACTCAATCTTCATTTTTTCATTCATCTTCATACACTTATAATATGCATTATGAAGCAGTTATACAAGCAGTAATTAATAATTTGAATACACAATTAATCTCTAATTATACTGAGACTGAGACTGCTAAAAAATATGAAATCAGTTAATATATATTATCATGATAATATAGAGATGTTCAAATATTAAGAAAGAAAGTAAACTCTACTCACTGTAAAAATCTCACAGATTTACAAGAAGAACAGCTTCTTTTTCATATTAATTAATTAATAGATCACAGTTTCTCTTGTATATCTCAAATTCTTTATAATCTCATTATTGAGATTCTAAAAGCATCTATTGAAATTAACTAAGTATCACAATTCTGTCAGTATTATAAGAATATAATCAAGTTACTCTATATTTGAAATATTGATTAAAAATGCAAGATTACAGTACAGATAATTCAACATATTTTAAGCATTATTTTAATCTTATAATAGATTTCTTTCTTCTATTAATTTTTTACTTCTTGCTAATTAATTTATAGCTACAGATAAAAATTACTTAATATAATATTAAACTCATGAATATTTACAACTTTGATGAGAAAGAATTTCTATTAGAACTTATTCACACTCTTAAATATATTATATTAATTACTTCACTTAAATTAGATTATATAATAGATGTTAGTTAGAATAGTAGTTAAGAATTTATAACACTACTTATCTTAATTTATACAGATGAAACTTCACTCTCATCTGCTCTTATATATTAAGAAGAATTAAGAGATATATAAGATACTTAACTGAAGAATTTTAATAGTGAAAAGAATTAAGTCTACTTTACTACTTCAGTAAATAAATAAAGTAATAATGAATATGAATTAATATAATTAAAGAAGATCTTTGAATCTCTTATAAAAAAGAAAGTAGAATATAAATATAGACTTCTTATATTAAATAATCACTTCTTTTATATTAATATAGCATTTATCAATTATATAGATTATTATCAGATTCTACTTACTATCTTTTCTTCTTATTCTATACACTAATTACAGTTACTAGATATTGAAATATTTGAATTATTGAGTAAATTATACTTTAATCAACTGAATGAACAGATGAGAACTAAAATAAGATTTATATACACTATAAAGAGATCTTTATAACATCTATTTAATACTGTATGAAAGAAAGCAGTTATATCTTTAAATATTATATCTATATTTACTACTACTGATCTATATTTATTTAATTCAGAACCGATTCTTAAAAAGCTTGTAATACAGCTTTGCACTCTCTCAGATATATAATATTAATCAAGAATCTTCACTTCTATTATTGATATGCAGAAATTGATGAAATAAGTTAAATAGTAATAATATTAAATATCTAGTAATCTTAACTGAGTGATCTGTGTAGAGAAAAATCTTGCTCTTAATAAAGAGATTCTTCTAATAGAGAATAGACAGGTATAGTAAGCTCTTAATCAAGAGAGAAGATATTACAAGTATAACAGAATAATAACATTACTAGATTCTTTAAATTCATTATTAATACAGTTCTTTTCACTAGTGAAGATACAGATTATATATAAGAAAATAATCACTTCTGAAGCTGTTAAAAAGAATAAGCAGACTTGTAAGAAAAATATCAAGTTATAATATACTATTCTTAAGAAATAGAAGAAGACAGATATCATGATAAAGAGAATGAAGTGAGAGACAGCTTATCAGATAGTAAAGCAGTAAAAAGATATAAATAAGACTTTAAGAACTGCTCAACAGCAGATTAAAAAGAAGCTTAGAAATGTAAGAAAGACTTAAGAGTAAAAAGAGAAGAAAGAATAAGCTACTATACAGCAGTAATTACAGTTGAATAAGAAAAAGATTAAAGAATTTAAAAATTATCTTTCTAATCAGAAAAGTAAACTCTTGATTTCATAAAAAGTAACTAAATTATGTTTTTAAAGCTTTATCAGAGTGCTTATAAATTCACTACTGAAGAAATCTGATAATATTATAATCTTTACTAATTTAATAACTGCTTACTCACTGAATCTGTCTTTATTCAAGATTTTATATTTTAGATGAGTTATTAAGTCTAATAAATATTTATAAAATTAGCTGTATATTTTTATATGTAATTTTCTATATATATTTTCATCATATAATATATCACCTTAAAATCTAATTATGTTGTTAAGATATCAATGAAAATATTTCATTATTATGATGATGAAATGATGAGTGTTAAGTGTAAGTGAGTATTGAGTAGTTAATCACATTACTTCATATAATGATGTAACAGTTTGCTAGCGGCTGAAAATGATCATTTTCACAGCTGCTGAACATTACATTTGTGGTGATGAGCAATCGATTTGGGAACGCTACGCACAAAATGCCCGTACGCCCGCAAGTGCAGTTGCAAACCACAATGATGTCAGATTCTACTTTGGTGGCTACAAGATGTGCAGGGAGAGCAAGGCCTTCTAAAACAGTTCTTTTGTCACTGACTTTGTAGCAGTTGACTGTTCTGCTGTAAGTCTTAAGAATCTACAAGTTCTCTCTGATAATGAAATACCCATCATGGTAGTGGTAGGGAAGGTAAAGACCCTCTCTGGAAGCATGACCTTAGACATTATGAGAGGATTACAAGGAGGTAGACTGGCCGCCGGGACCATGAATTTCACATTTGATTTCATTTGGTCTGGTCCCATACATTTCTTGGCGTGAATCCCGCTGGGACTAATCATTAAATAAACATGAAAAGTGACTATATATCAGATCTCAAAATGGAACCATGACTTGAAAAAAATGAGAAAGTGGTCTCATTTGGTCCCATTTAATCTCATTCTTGGCATAAAGTTACTATTTTTAGACATTTTAAGGTTTTTTTTAGACTATTTTTAATTTTTTAAAAAGTAATGCTTTTTGATAACACTCAAATGAGATTTAAAGTCATTTAAAGCAATAAAAATAATTTAAATTGAGAAGTGGAAATCATGGTCTCATTTGGAAAATGTGACAAGAGTAGACAGTAAGTCCCACTGGGACAGTATGGGACTACTATCTAATGTTAGAACCGTGTAATGGGATCTGTCGAATTGACAATGGGACTATCAAAAATTCTGGTCCTGGTCCCAGACACGGTCACACGGTCAGTCTACAAGGAGGGCGAAATGGGAAAACCGATTTGGCTTGCTCTTGGAATGTTTCCGCGTAACCCTACCCCCCAAATTAAATACCTCCCGTGTGCCTGACTAATAGTCTTGTTTAGGTCAAATTGCCTCCTACAGCATCACTTCAAAATGCGTTACGGCTTCCTTACACATACGATAGCACTATATTCCTCAAGCAGGATGTTCCACCCGGAGGGAAGGACTCAGTATTATATCACACCGCCCAGAGAAGCAACCAGTTCTCTAGGGAGTCATAAAGATGATATTTCAGTTCGCCACTGCCTGTGCTACCTCCTCTACACGATCAATAAAAATAGCAATCATACAGCTGAAAATACATTTAGTCGCAAGCAGTGGACTAGCTCAACCTTTGGCCAAGGGCCTGCGGGCCCCATAACCCCCATGTCCAACAACCTAGAAACTGTCCATACTCCAAACAACTCCGCATGACAATATACCAATATCCTCCTCTGATCCATTACACCTATACTGAAACGGGTCAAGGTATAATACAACTATACTTTTTCGACGCGATGACATTCATGAGTCAAATAATGGTGAGGAGTATATTTTGATCAGCACTAAGAAGATAACTATGGACATCCATGGTAGCGACGACGGCAGTAGCAGCGATGGCGAAGCTAATGGTGATGATAATGACAGCTCTAAGTAGAGGAGGAGAGACGCAGCGCCTCGGAAGCGCACTGTTGCCTTCAAGGAAGACAAATGATCGGGGAAGGGGAAGGAACCGTTGATTGAGAAGCTGCGGCGTGCAAAGGATAGTTGATACTAGTTGGTTCTCATCCGATACATGTACTCGGAGGGGACAATGGACGATTATGTGATCAGTGGCCAGATGGAACGAGCTGCGCGAGCTGGTTGTGCAGGACTTGGTGATTAATTCAGCGGCGACAGTGGGGGATGCAGGGTTTTCAGAGCTGATTTGGCCTTTATGGGTCAGGGCCGGCACTGAGGTTACGAAGGTTATGAAGGTTATGGAGACTTGGAAAGTCACAGTGCGCTGGAGGTTGTGAGGTCGTGGGTTCCAACACCATCCCTAATACCTCGGAACCAATGTTCTTACGCTCTGACACCCGTCTGATATAAAACACTCTCCTCTGGCGCCTATCTAATATCTTTTCCTTTCTTTCCTTGACGTTAATTTTTGTACTTTCGCTCTGCTAGTGCCATCAATTGGTAGTTAGACCGTGCTGGCAAACCTGGCAACCTGTCACTCCTGTGCGCTAAGTCTAAATAGGCCAGAAAGCATTTGATCTGGATGGCGCTAAACCCTACAGGGCAACTCCCCATGATACGGTATTGGGAGGTGGGGGGGAAAAGTTGAGTAAAGCAGATCAGTGTTGTCTACATTTAAAATCAGATACCTAGGCTCCCACCACGGGATACTTGACACAAACTAGAAGAAGCTCGAACAGTCCAGTCCAAGTGCCCTTCCGCTTGCAAATGATCTTCCTCTGAGAACGAAACGAACATTTAACAGTCCAACCGCCAATTTAAAATTGAACTGAAAGGGGAAAGGAGGAGAGAAAAGGCGTTCTCGGCCATGGCGGACATCAGTGACGAACTGGGCACTATAGATGTTGACACAGACGTTCAAGAAATTCTCCTTGCAGCGTCACAACATAACATTCCGAAACTCCGTCAATTAATCCGCGCAAATGAAAAAGCGGAAAATCCAGTGAATGTCAAAGATCCTGAGACCGGGTATACTCCACTTCACGCTGCAATTGCTGCCTGTGAATCAGATGCAGAGGATTCAACCGACAGTCAACAAACCCCCAATGGGATCACGAATGGAGATTCCACAGTAGCCTTAGATGAATCGGCTAGTGTGGCTGACCGAGGGAGGGATGTTGTGAAGTTTCTACTGCAAGAAGGGGCTATTTGGAATGACTTGGATTCTAAAAATGAAACTCCTGGCTGTTTGGCTAGGAGACTTGGGCTTGAAGAACTTTACAGTTTGATGGTCGATGCGGGCGTGAGGGCTGAAATGCTACTTAATCGATTAGACGGCTATCAAATGCTATCGGATGATGGTAGCGAGGAGGAAGAGGAAGAGGATGCTCCTCCTCTGGCAGAGGAAAAACAAACGCAGGAGGACATATCACAAGCGGTGCCCGAATCGGGCAATGGCAGCAATCAGAACTTGGCAGAGTCGGCAGATGCTGACGTTAGCAGCTCTCGCTACCTTCAATCGAATTTAACATTCCAGCATGATCGATTACTCGATGAAGATCAAAATGGCGTGATGATGGCGTGGGAGACGGACATCATGGCAAAGTCTGCCAAAGCCCTTCTTCCCACTCCCGGATTGCGTGTTTTAAACATTGGGCATGGCATGGGAATCGTGGACAATCTTTTCCAAGCACAGCAACCGAACGCCCACCACATTGTCGAAGCGCATCCTGCCGTCATAGCAGACATGAAAAGAAAGGGTTGGCATGAAAAGCCCGGTGTTACCGTTCACGAAGGCAGGTGGCAGGACATCCTTCCAAGACTCATCGATGAGGGAGTGACATTTGATGCAATCTATTACGACACTTTTGCCGAATCTTACTCCGACTTCCGAGAATTCTTCTCGGAGCAAGTTATTGGTCTCCTTGAACCAAACGGCAAATGGAGCTTCTTCAATGGGATGGGGGCTGATCGACAAATAAGCTATGACGTCTATCGGAAAGTTGTGGAAATGGACCTCCTGGAAGCTGGGTTCGATGTTGATTGGGAAGACGTTAGAGTCCCACGTCTTGAAGAGGAATGGAGCGGAGTTCGAAGGAAGTATTGGGATGTAGATAATTATAGATTGCCGACTTGCAGATACTTAGACTAGAAGGAAAGAGGAAATATTAAGTTTCTCCCTCTACTGATTTCCTATAACTTTACTTAGAATGCTAAATTTATGTAAATTGAGCTATGTCGGTTAAAAAGTGAACAAACGCTAACGTTCCAATTCCCATAATACTTCTCATAAAACAGTCCTAACACTAAACTGCCTGACTTCTATCTGAGGCTGCTGTACAGATTATGTCCTAGATATCCACCCAAAACACGCCCCCGTACGGGGTATTCACATCTGAGTCCCTACACTAACAGAGAAACCCTGCCAATGCTCGTACACGAAGGGTATCAGACCCAATATGTCACCATTACGATTCCGTTCAAAAATCTAAGCATCTTCTGCATAAGCACAAATATTGTTCCTAATTAATTTCTTGTGAGATAGCTGTTGATCAGGTGGAGCAGACAAGGAACAAATATTATACCACCGCTGAACTTTTCACATTTGAGTGGTCATCTTTCCTACCTAGTATTTGATTCATGGGAAAGCTCTATAATCCCAAGATGCACTACGGTAGACTTATTTACTCCTGGGGCCATTGAGGTACGGCAAGACATGAAACCGGGTTCTTTAGCCTGTGAAATATGTGAAACAGATATAGGGGAAAGAGCCCCTTAGCCACAAAAATGAGGGCCAGGCTTCTCTTGCCTCCACACATGTGATATAAGGAATATTTAGGGCGAATGGAGACGAATTGTATTTAATCGAGCCTTGGTCGGTAAGTTAGAGTCAATTCCGAAAATCGTCTTTATCGTGAGTTGGATCCTTCCTTAGAAGGAGTTAGTGGGAGATGAATATTATCTCGAATATAGATAGTGTCATAGACATAACTAATGTACATGATGTACAGTACAATGAGCAACCAAGTTCGTTTTGACCTGTAGGCTGTAACTAGCCCTTTTGCAAGGGTGGTTGTGGTTGGATTAAAGTTGCAGGAGGCTTGCACTAGTTATGGCTGAAAAGGGAAAGGTTTCCGCATAACTTAAGTTACCTGATTAGCCAATCAACAACATCCCTCTCCGTTCTCACTGGCACATTTTCTTCTTTCTTTCTAGATTTACATTGTTATCAATCATGCCAATTCTATTCCTGAGAGGAAATAAATATACAGTTGGACAAACAAAACTTTACATAACAAAGAATTACTTCAGGACAGAAGTACTAAACAAATCAGTGCCGACCTCCTGAGCGGATGAAAGCTTAATTTCAAACTTCATCATCATAAACCTTTCGACTGCCCCCTCTCCGATATGTAAACTCCGAATTCTATATCCCCCTACTTCATTCTATCTACTACACATCGAGCCATATATATATCCATAATATGACATCGAAAACTTTATTACCTTCCACGCTAACTGCCTTCGCTTATACTTGTTGCTACCTACTAGTCAGCTATACGCCCCTTTTTTCATTCTTAAGTTGCAAAATTGTCGAAAAATGCGACCAAATTAATAAGGGTACCTTAAAGCCCGAGACCAGCAAGAAGGGAAGCAAGCACGCGTGTACCAACGGGCCATTGAGCAGCGGCGGAACCAGAGAAACAGAGTCATCAAAGTCTCTAGAAGTCGTGCTGGAACTGTTATTTCCAATGCCTCTCTGCTTTAATTTGACGTCGCCGTTTGCGAGCATAGTCATGGCGGCGGGCTTTGCCTGTAATGGTTGGAGTGAGAGAGCCCATAGCAAAGGTACGGACGTGATTGAAGTGGCTCAACTTACATCTAGAGAGTGTGTTATAACCCCCCCCCCCCCCAAAAAAAAAAAAAAAAAAAAAAACGGATTTGACTTGGGGATCCAATGATAACTGCGATCCGGGCGTGCAATCTCTACCTATGACGGCAATGCAGAGCCAAATGCCATTCTGAGAAATGAGGCCCCGAGGAGCACTGAAATAGTTAGGCTCGCTGCCGCTGCCAATGTGACTTTGGCATTAACCGAAGATGGCCGTGTATATGGATTGGGATCCCCGGTGAATGTCTTGTCTGGGGTTGTTTGAACAGCTACTGCACTGGCATATTTTGCGATAGCTTACCAGCCAACGGCCGGAAGAAAGTGATATCTGTCGATGGCAAACCACGCAATCTTCTGGAGCCCATCCCACTCCCTTTCCTCGCCATATACAGATCCCTGCTTCTTGTCACGGACAATGGCCAAAGATATTCATTACGTCTCAAACCAGCCAGCAGTGCGGCCAAGAAATATCGGGATATTCCGGTTCCATGATTGATTTATTCTGAGCCCATACGCAACAGGGAGCTTTGTGGGTGGGAGCAGGTCGTCAATACTACATACCCGCCTCGTATAAAGATATTTAAAATGGGTAAGGATCTAGTCAGAACCAAACATGTGAGATATGGGAATCCAGACGAAGGGAAAAGTATAAAACTTCGAGGGCATAAACCGATTATCCCATCGCGAAGTTTTTATAGGGCTAAGCTAGGGGGTAGCCGGGTGGGAACAAGAGAGAAAAGACCAGCCACATATTCACTAATTCATTCATGAAGGGATCCTCATCGCAGTATTACTGCGCATATTCTTTTTATCTCTGGTTTCTGTTTTTAAGAGCATCTTCATCATTCTATTTCATCGCATATCGGCTTCTCTCGGCACTTATACTATATCTTCAGGCTTGCTATGGATGGCCATTTGTGTTGACTGTTCTAGACGTGAAGAATGTTTGAATATATGGATATAGATTAAAATTTAAATACTTGGTATGAGGATGGATTGAAGTAAAGATAAAGTAGCTACTCGAGGTCAGCACAAAAAGATAGTTATATATTTTCAATCGAGTTTCGAATTCACAACGCCATATAACGCAGTTTCATCCAACCACATTTAAAGAATGAAAAAATGTCAGGGAATAATTAGCATAAATAGCGAATTAAATACCCCAACGCACGCTAGAAAGCTCAATAATAGCGAAAAGAATAAGTAATGTCATCCAAAAGAGGTAAAATTTCCAGCAGTCCGTCCCACTCCCATGAAACCAGCCGGGCTAGCTCAATCGGTAGAGCGTGCGGCTCTTAGATCACATTCGTGTGACCGCAAGGCTGCGGGTTCGATCCCCGCGTTCGGCTTTCTTTTTAAATTTTTTTTATATATATATTTTTTTCCGTATATTACTTTCTTTCTTTCTTCTTTTTGCATACGTCTAAAGAAAAATATTTAAGCTTTCCCGCTGGCGAAATTCTGACTCGCGAAACCAGTTTCCTTACTTTGCCCCTCGGCCCGCTTCACCAAGTTGTGTTCAACGTCATATTAATCATCGTAAATAATGCAAATGCTCATTGGTTTGTTCCACTCAAGAGTAATGTAACCCCAGTTCTTCTTTCTCCTGAAAAGATCAAGCAGCATTTGCTTAGACGCATAAACCATCCCAGACTTGACAACATGAGGCGGCGATTTAGTTCCGACGGCCTGCGCCGAACGACTAGCAGCATCAGAGAACACTTATCCCCGCTCCGACGCTATTCTTCACACAGTGAGGTTGAGATAATGCATTTCTCGTGGCCATCGGGCCGCCCAAGGCTAGTAATCACAGCGGATACTCGAGATTTTGACCAGGAGATGATCCAGCATTTGAAAGATGAAGCTTTTGAGGTCGCATATCTTCCGTACAATGGCCTACCAAGAGAATATAATGGTCAATTACAGAAGTTGGAGGATCCGCTGGAACGAGGGGAGAGATATGCGATTGTGGGTATGTGACCAGGCTGACTAGAAATAGCCCAATTGTATTCAACCAAAGTCAGATATACACTAAATAAATTGCGTATAAATCTGATGGCTAACCAACCTATCATCCTCATATCCAGCATTTGGCGAAGCCGCATCCTTAGTCCTAGAAGCATGCACAAAGCCAATGCCCAAGCTATGCGCAGTAGTCGCATATTATCCCCCTCGAATACCACGTCCAACAGGCGATTTCCCCTCTCAATTACACCTTACAATCCATCTTGCCGGAACGCAAAAGTTCGGCGGAATGAATAACTGCTACACTTACCTGCATGCAAAACCTGGGTTCGCAGAACTGGACAACCCGGAATATGACGAGATTAGCACACGGCTCGCATGGTCGCGCACGCTGGCATGTTTACTACAGGGGTTTGAGATCCATCGGGACCTTGAGCCAGTGTGGGAGCGACATATCGATATGCTATATTCCAGAAAGGATGCGATGGGGGCGGTGCAGACGATGACGGAGGACTCGTATGTGAATTTTGTACCTACTATGACTGGGGGTATGTTTGTGCAATAGCTTCCTCGGCGTGCTAAATATCATCAGTTTCTGAACGAGGTCTGATCAATCAGACGCGCGAAGCTGACTGACTCTTTTCGTTGCACAGGATTCGGTAGTGATGAGCTATTTCGCTTCTACGCAGACTACTTCATTCCAGGAACCCCACCCTCTCTAAATGTACGCCTCATCTCCCGGACTGTGGGCACTAATCGGATCGTGGATGAAATGTTCGTTACGTTCAGACACACGCATGAAATCCCGTGGATGCTCCCCGGGATACCGCCAACTGATAAAGAAGTTGCCATCGCACTCGTCAGCATAGTTACTGTTCGCGGGAACAAACTTTGTCATGAAAATGTATATTGGGACCAGGCCAGTGTTCTTGTCCAATTGGGTCTGCTGGACCCGAAGTATGTTCCGGCTGGGTTCAACGGAGTGGCACGGACTAATGGTAACGCAAAGGAGGGAGATGACGAGAGTGGCAGTGACCGGAATGTTGACGCTCTTCCTGTGGTGGATGCTGAAGGGGCATGGAAGGTGTTTGATGAGGAGTCGCAGCAATCTAATGAGCTAATCAAAGATTGGCGATGATGATGACCCTGTCCAAGAAGTTGGTTTAACAGCATGCTAAACCACAGGTTGTTGAATTGCAGTTGAAGTTCCACAGAGAGGGATATGATTATAGCTGAAAGACGTGGAAGGTAGCCGCGGAGGAGTTCGACTGGTTGGAAGGTTACGTCGTTCATTTAGACCACCTGTTCCACTCCCAGGCCTTGTGATGCCTCAGAATACGCAGATTAACGTATTTGTCGTTTCAAAGTCTCCGTGGCCCATTCCTGAATGATATGAGTACACTCAAAGCTATGAGGGCAGATGTGCTTTGACTTAATCGGAAGGCATGCTGACTTGGACGCCGCACCTACCCCCTCCGGAAGGTACGAATTTATGAAAATGAAGTAATTTATGCACTAACTGGAATTACTGCATGGGTATCTAAATTTGAGACATGTATTTTAGTGCTAATTTAAGTATATACATGTGTGTGAAAAATTAGGGCAATTTATCCCTATTCTATTACTTGGTATCTGATTAGGCCCTATATACATTGCAACGATCCTACCAGCTTCGAAATCTCCGCGCTCACCGCATCAGCACTTTTCAGTGTCTCCACACTAGCCCGCTGCGCGACAGAAATGATATCATCCAACCTCCTTAACCCGACATCATCGCTCCCTTCACCCTGTGCAAGCCCCGCAACAATAACTCCGAGCAACGTATCCCCTGCCCCATTAACACTCACCACATCCGCATCCTTCAAGACTTCCGCCGGCGGGAAGAGACGCATATATACCCCGCCGATTGGGCTGTTATTGCCATCGGCATAGGATCTGCCCAAAATATACCGTGCATAATCCGCAGAACGAAGCCGCGCATCACCAGGCGGCAGGATCTGAGTAAGTAACACACCCTGCGGGCCGAGCTTGGAGATTATGCACGGGATGAAGGGAAGAAGTTGAATGGCTTGCTGGGGGATCCCTTGGTCGACGAGTTCAGAGTTCGTGATCGAGACCAGTCGATCACGCGAGCCACTACTGGGCATCTCTAAGGAGTTGATGACTTCCCACCATTGAGCGCTTTCGAAGAGGCCAGATTCCCGGGCTGTTGTATACATGGTTGTCAGCTCGTGGCGATTAGGGGCCACGATGTCGATAGTGTGGTTTGGAATTGTGAATGATGGCTGGATGATCGATTTTAAGTTTGAAACCGAGCGTGTGAAGAGGCGGGTGGATTTTGCGTCGGAGACTGGTTCAAATGCGATTTTGGCGCCGTTGGATTTCGCTAGCGAAATCCACTTCGAGATGACATCTGGGTTCCAATTCGCATCGATAACGACCCAATTTGGTCGTGCCCGCTGGACGAGAGGATCCCAGAAGGCGTTGAAATCAAGGGATTGCTGCGGTGCTTCCATGATTGTCATATCAGCCATGGCGAGCATTAGATTGTTCTTCGCGTCGTTGACAGAAACATATTGCGCAGTCCTGCAGCCAGTAGCTGGACTAAGTACCTGAATGCCTTGAGAATGTAAGTTGGGTTGACTATTTTCCAGGGCAGCAAGAGCTGCGCGGCCGCTGAAATCATCCGCGACGACACTGCACAAGAGAACTGAGCTGCCGACGTAATTTGCAGCTAGAGCTACATTGTGGCCGACTCCCCCGAGGTTTTGTCTTATGATTGATGGATTAGATGTGTGCAGAGCAGGGATGCCATCACCTTTCTGTGATGCAGGCGTATAATCGCATGCAAAGTCTATAGCAAGCGATCCAGCGACTAATACATTGGTCTTCTCCACCTTGTCTGGGCGTCGCTCGAGATCAGCTATTGCTGGACTAGGAGGTTTGAGGGCATCTTGAGCTGGAGGTGACTCTGACGATAACGAAGCAGTTGCCAAATAACCTGACATATGTCTGAGTAGCAAAATATCACAGCAAATCAGCCAGCGCTTCCAATCACAATTTAGTTACACAATTATCTCACCGATTCCCTTCAAGAGGACGCCCCGTTTCCAGTTTGGCAAGTTCAACTGCAACTTTGGTTCCGCGTTCTACATTGCTTTCAACCAATGCTGTGTTTGTAGCCACACTTTTTCCGCCACTCAACTCTCTAATTTTAGCTAGAACAAAAGGGGTATTATCACTGCCATGGATCCCTTCAAGCTCAGAGAGCTCAAGGGCCTGTTCAATTATATCATCAATCTCCTGTTTCGGGAATGAAAATTTCTCTGGCACTGGATTGGCGAAAACCAATCCTGAGGATATGTTTAAACGTGACTGTGCATCTAGAAGTATGTCAATTGGGGAGTTTTCGAAATCCAGACCACTTTTCGAATAGAGTAACTAGAGAGGGAGGAAACAAAATATAGCTAGCACAAGAGAAAGCAAAGTTAACTGTTATCAATAACTTACATATGATAGCAGCAGCTTCTGCTTCATCGTGGATGACTTTCGGCGCTCTTATTCCACTGTTTCTGGTGTAGAAGGCAGGGAAATCAACGTTTCCCTCGCGCCCATCTGCAAAAGCTCCGACTAGTACTCCTTCAGTCTCGAGATATTCAAGCGTCCGCTGGATATCCAAAAAGCTTTTACAGCCCGAGCTGATGAGTGCAACAGGTGTTCGCCCAAGCTCAGTCAGGTCGGCTGCGTATGGCATGTGTTAGTACTGTTCAAGCAAAAGTCAAGCTGCAAGTCTCACCAGAAATATCCATAGAGTTTTGCCCGCCACGGTGTACACCTCCTGTTGGATGTTAGAGCCTGTAATCATATTAATATCCTTTGCAACATCGCACAACGCACCGAGACCGCCAGTAGCAAAGACTTTAATCCCCGCAGTATGAGCCAGCACCATGGTACCGGCAATTGTAGTGCCCCCGTTCATTTTCTTGCCGCTCAGACCCTAGAAAACGGTCAGCGGTCGTGGCACGCTGGAGTTAGGCGGTAGCTGAGTTACCAGGCCACAGATATATGCCAGGTCTCTACGGGAGACCTTCAAAACCTTTTGGGTCTGGGATGAAGATGCAAGCTCGGCAAGCTCATCGGGTGTCATTCCCACCCTAGCAACGCCGTCGAGTACGCCTATAGTAGCAGGCACGGCGCCTCCCTGGCGTACAATTGACTCCAGGCGGGACGCGAGAGCGACATTATCGGGATATGGGAATCCTAGGTATGGGTTTAGTTACAGTTGTGGGAGTAGAGAGAAGTTCAACAAGCGGCGTACCATGCGTGTAAATGGTCGTTTCCAAAGCTACGACGGGTCTCGATGAAGCCACGGCATCCTGTACCTCTTCCGAGACCTTTAGGTATTTGCTTGTCTCCCCGAAATGTCTCCGTCGGTGAATCGATCTATGTCTTGGCTGGGTTGGGACTCTTAAGCGCGAATACGACCATCTCCATAGTGCAGCCGCGGTTCGTGGCGTAGGCATATTGAAGGAGGGAGCCCTAGAATGCCCTCTTGGCTACATGAATGGGAATAACCTAATGGGTTTATTGAATGCCTTGCCATGCGAGTGACGTCTTGGTTAGTGGCGGAATATTCCGTATATTTAACGCAACGCGCGCGGTTGTTGCTTCTTGGCGCGCTGCTGGATCAAATTTAAAGGACGACGACGCTCAACCAACCCCAAGTTAAACTTAAGCAATCCCGAATCTACTCTTTACCAACGAAGCTTTAAGCGTTGAGAATGTTTGACGCTGGGAATATGTAACTGAAATGTTTGTGCAGGCACAGACTGTACCTTCAGTGGAATCTATGGGCAGAAACACACTAAGCTACTACATATGGCTTGATCTTACACACTGTTCTCTCCTGCAAGACAAGGAATTCAGGTTCCTGAGTCTGTTGTTTTTGTCCTTAAATAACTGGCAATATCACTGTTAATAACGGGCAGAACAACACTGAATACTTGTGTGAGTTCATAACAACAGGATCTTTCCATCTTTCCTGACAGAACAACGAACAGAACAACGAAACCTTCAATGTACCCAGAGTCTTCAAAATGCAGAGCATGCTGGGAAATTGAAAGACTCATCATACTGTTGTAGTAAGAAATGATTTATACAATTAAGTACTGCATACAGCAGATACAAACATAGTTGTAGTGAGCTAAACCCCCATCGCCTTGGTATTTATAGATTGCAGCTCCCTGCGCTTGTGGCCGCTTCGCCCGCCTTAGTAGCTCCAGACGGACACATAAACCATTCGCCGCCAACGACATCATCACCAGCTCCAACAGCCCCATTACTTGTCGCGCCAGCTCTCATTGCGATACCTACAGTGCCCGGGACCGTAAATTGGTCTGCCGGTAGCAAGCCCTACCACCATGAGGCTCTTATCTGCTGCAGCTCTGCTCTGCGGTGTGTTGACATCCTCCATCTCGAGCGTACGTGCCGCAACTGCCAATGACACCACATATACTTCATCGCGACTAGTCCTACCGACCGATTTCAGCCCCCCCAAGGTGTTCAAGAATGTCAATCTACTCAGAAATATAAATCTTGAGAAAGGTTACGTGCGGGAAATCGTCAATGTTGTGGTAGAGAACACTGGAAAGGAACCGCAGGAGCGGTACTTCCTCCCTTTCGCATCGGACATAATCGATAGAGTTGGAGGACTGGAAGTACGAGATAAGAATGCGCTATCGCATGGCAAATTTCTGGTGGATGCTACGGAGACGTTGCAGTCGAGGTTTGTTTCCAATTGGTGCTTCTGAACGGTGTATTTGGGTGTGCACTGGTTTCGTAAACAGCTCAGTTATGAAGCCGCAATCTAACAATTTTTACCGTTATAGCCCAAATCAATACTTCGTCATTCATTTTCCCGAAGCTCTGAAAACCTCCTCTCAAATCACCCTGAGCATATCCTATTACATCCTTAAAGCCCTCGACCCTCTCCCCGCGGCTATTGAACAACAAGACAAACAATACCTCACCTACTCCTTTCCGGCCTACGCCCCGTCCGCTTACACAACCGACAACCAGAAGACAAAGATCAAATTCCCTAGCTCCGAAGTACCAGACTACACAGAAACTTCCGGCCTGAAATCCGGCGCAGACCCAGAACGACAAGGCAGCACTTACACATACGGACCCTACCAGACCTCTAAAGTTCTTCCCGGCACCGCAGGATCCATCATAACCGTCCGCTACGAATTCACCAAACCAGTCATAACCTGCTCCCTCCTCGAGCGCGACGTCGAAGTCTCGCACTGGGGCGGCAACCTTGCAACTGAGGAGCGTCTCTGGCTCCGCAACGACGGCGCCAAGCTCTCCAACCACTTCTCCCGCGTCGAATGGGCGATAAAGTCCTATCAGAACCTACCCTCATCCGCCATGAGCGATCTACGCATCCCACTACGCCCAGGCTCCGTCGACGCCTATTTCATTGACGACATCGGCAACGTCTCGACAAGCCATTTCCTCCCTGGTCTGAACAAGCGCGAGGCGCTGCTGGAGCTCAAGCCGCGCTACCCCGTTTTTGGCGGGTGGAAGTACAGCTTCCGCATTGGCTGGAACAATGCACTGTCATCATTCCTGCGCAAGGCTGGCGGGGAGTCGTATGTGCTTAGGGTACCTTTCCTGGAGGGTCCGAAAGTGCCTGAGGGGGTGCAGTATGAGAAAGTCCAGCTGCGCGTGATTCTCCCTGAGGGTGCGCGAGATGTGAAGTATGAACTAGCTGATGGGGTTGGGATGCCATTTATGGTCGAATCGGAGATTGGGTTGCACAAGACGTTTATGGACACGGTGGGGAGGACCGTGTTGACGTTGCGGACGACGAATGTGGCAGATGAGGCAAGGGAGGGACATCTTATTGTATGGACAAACCACCTTTCCTTTCTTCTTTATCTAACCCCTCTTGCATCTAAAGGTCGATTGGACAAGAATTGCTAACCAACTACCTTTATAGGTGACATACGACTATCCCGCACTCGCGATACTCCGTAAACCACTAACGATCGCCGCAGGCCTATTTAGCGTGTTTGTGACGGTGTGGTTAGTGGGTAATCTAGATGTGAGCATTAAGAAGCGGTAGGGGGCAAGGTGGAAAAGAAGAAGAGTTTAATTTTCCCTTTTTGTTTTACCTTTTTCTTGATCATGTCGTTTTATACGGTTATTTTATTTATATTATAGGGATTACCATTGCTATTCTATTTTCATTCTTTAGTTCTTTTCTAGACATCAATTTCACGGGGATAGTTATGTAGTACTTTTCAGTTCAGGAAGGTAGCCTGCATTTGTGTATACAGAAAACTTGACCTCGCTAAGTGCGCCACTTGACCTCGTTACATAATCATGACCCCGACCTCGCACAATACAGTAATAATCAGTTGATAATTGACTTTCAATCTTTCAATTCACTCATTCATTCAGCTCATCAATCAATCAAAGCATGTATAGCTGATTCATAATCAATTAAATAAACAGATAAATATATAGAATATTGTAAGAATAAGTGCTTGTAGGCAATTATTTGAGTGTTTGCAGCTTGATGTGATATGTACTGTTAACTACTAGAAGTATTCACAGTAGAAAGATAAAATGTAGAAGTTAAATATATAATAGTATTCAAGCTGAGTTATAAATAGTATTCATGAACTTCAGTCTATATAGTTATATGTAGTCAAGAGCTGCTAGCTCTATTAATTATATAAGAGATAGAAATAGAGATAAAAAATCTATAAGAAGTGAGATTTCTTACATATCTTCTTCTCTCTAAGACTTTATTTATGAAGTCTTTCACTGAGTGACTTCATAGTCAGCTCAGCACTGCAGTGATACTCACTAAAAATTCTTCATATCTATAAAAAATCTCAGTGAGGAAAAATCTCTTATTACTATGAAGAGAAAAGAGTCTATTACTTAGTTTCTTATTTTATAAAATTCTTTATAATTTATAGATTCTTCTCTGACTATTATATAGATTCATCTTATATCTTTTATATAGAAAAGTTTCAGTTAACTCTCAATTATTTTCATAAGATTCTTATATAATTATTATATAAATTCATTTTATAAATAAATTACTCTCTATGAGATTACTCTTATTAAAGAGAAATATTTATAAGTTAATCTTTCACTTATTCTTATAAATCATTGTTCTTTAACACTGTAAAATTATAAGGAATTTTTCATTCTTTTATTAACTCTGTAGAATTATAGAATCAAGATATTTACAGTCTGTAATTACTCTTTATAGTTATATAGAAAGATTCAGATCTGTAATTTATAATTACTCTTATTTACTAAAGTAATCTGACTGTTTCACAGAATTACTTATAGTATAAGTAAATCTCTTTAAAGTAGTATAAATATCTCAGATCTATCTGTAGAATCTCATCTTCTTTTCTCTTTTTCTATAACAGCTTTTATTTTCATAAACTATAAGTATCTCTGTTCATCTGTGAAGTATTTTTATTTAAATAATAGAGAGAGAGTGTTTCTGACAATATCTGTATATTAATTCAAGAACTTCTTAAGAATAAAAATTTTTCAATTTTAATATTTTTATAACAATGTCTGATCACTGCTGAGCTTCTTGTAAGTGTTTTTATAACTTCTCTGATTACTTTTTACTAGCTGATGAAGCAGAAGCACTGCTGCTTATAATTATATCTTCATTCTTCTCAGCTCTGTTATTATATCTGATCTTCAGATCAGCAGTCAATCTTCTGTCTCTTTCAGATCTGTAAGAATAAGTGCTTGCAGGCGATTATTCAGATGTTTGCAGCTTGATGTGATATATACTGTTAACTACTAGAAGTATTTATGATAGAAAGATAAAATGTAGAGATTAAATGTATAATAGTATTCAAGCTGAGTTGTAAATAGTATTCATGAACTTCAGTCTATATAGTTATATGTAGTCAAGAGCTGCTAGCTCTATTAATTATACAAGAGATAGAAATAGAAGTAAAGAATCTGTGAGAAGTAAGATTTCTTACATACTTCTCTCTCTCTAAGACTTTATCTGTAAAGCCTTTCACTGAGTGACTTCATAGTCAGCTCAGCACTGCAGTGATACTCACTAAAAATTCTTCACATCTATAAAAAATCTTAGTGAGGAAAAATCTCTTATTACTATGAAGAGAAAAGAGTCTGTTACTCAGTTTCTTATTTCATGAGATTCTTTATAATCTACAGATTCTTCTCTGACTATTATACAGATTCATCTCATATCTTTCATATAGAAGAGTTCTGATTGACTCTCAATTATTTTTATAACATTCTTGTGTAATTATTACACAGATTCATCTTACAGATGAATCACTCTCTATAAGATTACTCTTATTAAAGAGAAATATTTATAAGTTAATCTTTCACTCATTCTTATGAATCATTGTTCTTTAACACTGTAGAATTGTGAGAAATTTTTCATTCTTTCATTAACTCTGTAGAATTATAGAATCAAGATATCTGTGATCTGCAATTACTCTTTATAGTTATATAGAAAGATTCAGATCTGTAATTCATAATCACTTTTATTTACTAGAGTAATCTGACTGTTTCACAGAATCACTCATAGTGTAAGTAAATCTCTTTAGAGTAGTATAAATATCTCAGATCTGTCTGTGAAAGCTCATCTTCTTTTCTCTTTTTCTATAACAACTTTTATTTTTACAAACTGTGAGTATCTTCATTCATCTGTGAAGTATTTTCACTCAGATAATAGAGAGAGAGTGTTTCTGATAATATCTATGTATTAATTCAAGAACTTCTTAAGAATAAAAATTTTTCAATTTCAACATTCTTACAACAATGTCTGACTGCTGCTAAGCTTCTTATAAGTGTCTCTGCAACTTCTCTGATCACTTTTTACTAGCTGATGAAGCAGAGATGCTGCTGTTTACAATCATGTCTTCATTTCTCTCAGCTCTGTCACTGCACCTGATCTTCAGGTCAGCAGCTTCTCTCATCTCTCTTTCAGATCAGTCTCTGGCTTTAAGCAGTGTAGTTTCTCTCTTTACTATAAGTCTTCTCATAAGTAATTTCTTACAGACTCTAGCTAATAGTTCTTATAAAGCTCTCAGTGTTGTCAGTATCTTCTGCAGCTCTGCAGGTCTATGATCACTCTTCTTCTACCTGCACAATCTCTGACCAGATATATGTAAATATATCTAGGTTTCTCATTAATGATTCTCACACTGTGATGCATTTTCACAATCTCATTGTCAATGAGAGATGAGTCTCTGAGTACCTGCAAAATCCAGATAATTAAGACAATATAAATATCATAAATTTGTAATGAGAGTTGATCTAAGTAGATGAGCTTTCTCTTCACATTTCAATTGTTTTCAGACTGAATACTTCAGCATAACTGAGAGAGCAGACATAGCTTTGTAAGAGATATCTGATCACACACACAGATAATCAGTCTTCAAGACTCTGCTGCAACTATATATACTCTGATATTCAGCTTCTCTGAAGTCTGTGCATTTCTGATAATTTTTGTATCAAATGTAATAATTGTCTGTACTATAGATATAATACTCTCTACTTCTTTGAAGAGAAAAATTAATAGTTGTGAGAGAATTGAGTATCATAGATATTAAGAATATAAGTTTGAGTTTTCTTTATTTTTTCTTTATTAATCTTCAAATTGTGTTCACAGCTCTGTTTATTTTCTTATTTTTTAGCTTAATAAGAACATGATTTCTTCTTCTCTTATATACACTGCAGACTGTTCATCTCAGTAGAAACTTATTATCTTATAGACTAGAATTTACAAATAACAGTATTAATATCTTTATCACAATCAGGTTCTTAACAAAGATTATATCATTCTGACTTATCAGAATTTATAGTATGAAAGTCATGTCTCAGTTTCTGCAGATATCTTATCTATCTGAATAATTCTCAAGTGAACTTATTCATCTTATCAGAATACTCTTATCACTGAATCTTGAATCAGAGCTCACAATCTTACTTCTCTGAGTCAATAATTTCTTTAATCTGATATTCTCTTTCACTCTCTAGTACTTTATGAATAGAGTGATGAGTCACAGAATTCTCTTCTAAGAATTTCTTATATTCATAGAGTAAAGAGATATAAAAAACATTATATATCTATAACTTAGATAACAGTTTTAATCTATAGAACTGTGAGTTAACTTTCTTCACAATCTTATAAGACTCTGTCTGTAAGAGATTCAGCTTCTTATTAGATCTTCACATGATGATATTTTCTAGACTCAGTCAGACTCTATCATCTTTCTTAAAACTCTTTATAATATACTTAAAGTCATAGTATCTCTTCTGATACTCTTGAGCCTTTCTCAAGAATTCACAGACTTTCTTCTGAATCTTCTAAATTCTCTCAGTCTGTTCACAGACATCATTATACTCTATAGTGTACTCTTACAGATTTATCAAGATTATTTGTGAATAAGTCTCAGTAAGTATCTCAAAGAGAGTTTTATCTGTGCTGACATGCTTTGAGTTATTGTATATAAACTCTGTAAATAATAATCAATGCACTCAGTCATTCTGATTATAATTAACAAAGTATCACAGATACTGTTTTAATATACTTATCAGATGTTCTATCTAATCATCTATCTATTGATGAAAAGTCATGCTTAGATCTCATAAAATCTTCAGTATAGTTATCAGATCAGATCAGAACTCTTCTGTGAAGATTAATTCTCTATCTGAGACAATGTTCACAGATAATTCATACAATCAGATCACATCACAGATGAAGATATAAGTTAAATTCTTTAACTTCAAGTTCTTGTGAGTGAGTATAAAGTGTGTTATCTTGATAAAGTAATTCACTACTATCAACACACTGTCAAAGCAGACATTATATATGTTCTTACTTTCAGAGAGACTCATAAGAATATTCATTTCTAGCTATTCTCAAGATTTCTGCAGAATGAGTAGAGAAGTAAGTTCTCTATATAATCTGAACTGCACTATCTGTGAACTCTGATAAATAGTACAAGAATTCACTATCTTCTTCACAAGTTCTCATATCTTCAGTCAGAAGTATTTTCTTACAAGTAACTCATGAGTTCTAGTGTCTGTAAAATG